TGCATTACAGCTAAATATTTCTAGCATTGTAATTTACTGATTGATTTTTTTATGGCTGGCCGGTACAGGCATCAAATGAACCCTGGACCTTGGTGTTATCGGCACCACGCTCTAACCACCTGAGCTCACTGGCCAGCCCCATAGTTTCTATTAAAAACAATTTAGTACAGGCATCAAATGAACCCTGGACCTTGGTGTTATCAGCACCACGCTCTAACCACCTGAGCTCACTGGCCAGCCCCATAGTTTCTATTAAAAACAATTTGGGTCGTTGTTAACCTGAATGAAAAAAGAGCCATATTTGTTTTCTGCTTATAAAGCACTGCTAAAACTACTTCAAAAATTTTTTTTTCATTTTAAAAAATTGATAGAAGAAGTCAACAGTGTTTATGTCCCATATGCACACACCCAGATATGTACACGCGTGTGACTCCCAGATGACCTTCCCTTGCGCCCGCTTCAGGCAGCATTCCCTTTCCCACAGTCACAGACGTAGCCAGTTCTCCAGCCTCTGTTACCATCAGTTGGGTTTTCGAGGCACCCATTTTTAGAGAATTAATTCTTCCTTCATGGTATTGTTACTAGCTGTACTTCAGTACCTCTCTGGTGAGATACCTGGGGATTGATGTCATTCAGCAAACAAACATCATCCTTAAGATGCTTTTGGTTTTCCTTGACCCATCTGGACTTTGCAAGCCAGGGAGAATCAACTCCTTATATTTTTTGGAGAAAGGCTGCATACTGGGGCAATAGCACAATAGATTCTTTCTGTATCTCCAGTTAGTGATCATTTTTATTTTTTATTTATTTTTATTTCTTTGGTGGCTGGCCGGTATGGGGATCTGAACCCTTGACCTTGGTGTTATAACACTGCACTCTAACCCTCTGAGCTAACCAGCCAGCCCCCAGTGACCATTTTTAAGTCCTCACCTTTCTTCCCTTGCTTTTGCCGGCGGCTTCCGTGCAGGCCTGGTGTGAAACAAACCTGCGAAGGTGTATCAGCGAGCAGCACCGTTTCGTCTGCGACTCCTGTGACAAGGCATTCCCCATGCTGTGCTCTCTGGCCCTGCACAAGCAGACCCACATCGCCACAGACCAGGAACGGGAAAAGCTGCCTGCCAAGCCCCTGCCTGGCGACACCCTGGACCAGAAGGTCTTCCTGGCCTTGCTGGGCCTGCAGCACACCAAAGACGCCAGGCCCACCCCCGCCGAGGAGCCCCTGCCTGACGACAACCAAGCAATACAGCTCCACGCACTCAAGTGTCAGCTACCTCAGGACCCCGGCTGCGCCAATGCGCTGAGTCTGTCACCTTTCGAAGCTGCTTCCCTGGGCGGTTCTCTCACGGTCCTCCCAGCCACCAAGGAGAACATGAAGCATCTGTCCCTGCAGCCCTTCCAGAAGGGCTTCATCATCCAGCCCGACAGTAGTATTGTGGTCAAGCCCATCTCGGGAGAGTCTGCCATCGAGCTGGCCGACATCCAGCAGATCCTGAAAATGGCTGCCTCGGCCCCCCCTCAGATCAGTCTTCCGCCTCTCTCTAAGGCCCCTGCCGCCCCCCTGCAGGCCATTTTCAAGCACATGCCTCCTCTGAAGCCAAAGCCCCTGGTCACACCGCGCACGGTGGTGGCAGCCTCCACGCCCCCGCCTCTCATCAACACCCAGCAGGCCTCCCCGGGCTGCATCAGCCCCAGCCTCCNTCGCTCTTCCTGCAGCAGCCGCGGGCCGAGCTGCCAGGCCAGCCTGAGATGAAGACACAGCTGGAGCAGGACAGCATCATCGAGGCCCTGCTGCCCCTGAGCATGGAGGCCAAGATCAAGCAGGAGATCACGGAGGGGGACCTCAAGGCCATCATGACGGGCCCCGGCAGCAAGAAGGCGCCCGCCATGCGCAAGGTGCTGTACCCCTGCCGCTTCTGCAACCAGGTGTTTGCCTTCTCGGGGGTGCTACGCGCGCACGTGCGCTCCCACCTGGGCATCTCGCCCTACCAGTGCAACATCTGCGACTACATCGCCGCCGACAAGGCCGCGCTCATCCGCCACCTGCGCACGCACAGCGGGGAGCGGCCCTACATCTGCAAGATCTGCCACTACCCCTTCACCGTCAAGGCCAACTGCGAGCGCCACCTGCGCAAGAAGCACCTCAAGGCCACCCGCAAGGACATCGAGAAGAACATCGAGTACGTGAGCAGCGGCGCGGCCGAGCTGGTGGACGCCTTCTGCGCGCCCGACACCGTGTGCCGGCTGTGCGGCGAGGACCTCAAGCACTACCGCGCGCTGCGCACCCACATGCGCACGCACTGCGCATCTGTCCCTGCAGCCCTTCCAGAAGGGCTTCATCATCCAGCCCGACAGTAGTATTGTGGTCAAGCCCATCTCGGGAGAGTCTGCCATCGAGCTGGCCGACATCCAGCAGATCCTGAAAATGGCTGCCTCGGCCCCCCCTCAGATCAGTCTTCCGCCTCTCTCTAAGGCCCCTGCCGCCCCCCTGCAGGCCATTTTCAAGCACATGCCTCCTCTGAAGCCAAAGCCCCTGGTCACACCGCGCACGGTGGTGGCAGCCTCCACGCCCCCGCCTCTCATCAACACCCAGCAGGCCTCCCCGGGCTGCATCAGCCCCAGCCTCCCCCCGCCGCCGCTGAAGCTGCTCAAAGGCTCGGTGGAGGCAGCCTCGCACGCCCACCTGCTGCAGTCCAAGTCCGGGGCCCAGCCCGGCCCGGCCTCGCTCTTCCTGCAGCAGCCGCGGGCCGAGCTGCCAGGCCAGCCTGAGATGAAGACACAGCTGGAGCAGGACAGCATCATCGAGGCCCTGCTGCCCCTGAGCATGGAGGCCAAGATCAAGCAGGAGATCACGGAGGGGGACCTCAAGGCCATCATGACGGGCCCCGGCAGCAAGAAGGCGCCCGCCATGCGCAAGGTGCTGTACCCCTGCCGCTTCTGCAACCAGGTGTTTGCCTTCTCGGGGGTGCTACGCGCGCACGTGCGCTCCCACCTGGGCATCTCGCCCTACCAGTGCAACATCTGCGACTACATCGCCGCCGACAAGGCCGCGCTCATCCGCCACCTGCGCACGCACAGCGGGGAGCGGCCCTACATCTGCAAGATCTGCCACTACCCCTTCACCGTCAAGGCCAACTGCGAGCGCCACCTGCGCAAGAAGCACCTCAAGGCCACCCGCAAGGACATCGAGAAGAACATCGAGTACGTGAGCAGCGGCGCGGCCGAGCTGGTGGACGCCTTCTGCGCGCCCGACACCGTGTGCCGGCTGTGCGGCGAGGACCTCAAGCACTACCGCGCGCTGCGCACCCACATGCGCACGCACTGCGGCCGCGGCCTGGGCGGCTGCCCCAAGGCCCACAAGCCCTTCGAGTGCAAGGAGTGCAGCGCCGCCTTCACCGCCAAGCGCAACTGCATCCACCACATCCTCAAGCAGCACCTGCACGTGCCGGAGCACGACATCGAGAGCTACGTGCTGGCGGCCGACGGCGGCCTGGGCCCCGCCGAGCCTCCACCCACCGAGGCCCCCGGGAGAGGGGAGGAGGCCGGCTGTGCGGCCTCGGGCGACCGCAAGCCCCTCGCCGCCTTCCTGGAGCCCCAGAATGGCTTTCTCCACGGGGGTCCCACCCAGCCTCTGCCGCCGCACGTCTCGGTCAAGCTGGAGCCCGCCAGCAGCTTCGCGGTGGACCTCAATGAGCCCCTGGACTTCTCGCAGAAGGGCCTGGCCCTGGTCCAAGTGAAGCAGGAGAACGTCCCCTCCTTCCTGAGCTCTTCTTCCTTGGCCCCCTACGACTGCCCCATGGAGCCCATCGACCTGTCCATCCCTAAGAACTTCAGGAAAGGAGACAATGCAGCTACCCCCAGCGAAGCCAAGAAGCCGGAGCAGGAAGCCGGGAGCAGTGAGCAGCCCGCTCCCTGTCTGCCACCTTGCCCTGCCTTGCCGGTGACTTTGGGGCCCAACGGGATCCTGGAAAACCCTGCAGTGCCTGCCACAACAGCCACCACCCTGGAGCCCCACTCCCAGGCCCTGCAGGGCTCCGTTCAGCTCGCTGTCCCCATCTACTCCTCAGCTCTCGTGAACAGCCCCCCGCTCTTGGGCAACTCCACCGTCATAAGCAACTCAGCCCTCCTGAGCAGCTCAGCCCTGCTGCGGCCGCTGCGGCCCAAGCCCCCCCTGCTCTTGCCAAAGCCCCCTGTGACAGAGGAGTTGCCCCCACTGGCCTCCATCGCCCAGATCATCTCATCCGTGTCTTCGGCCCCCACCCTTCTGAAAACCAAGGTGGCAGACCCAGGGCCCACGAGCACCAGCAGTAACACTGCAGCTTCAGACAGCTTTGGAAGCACCATCCCTAAGGTCGCCACCACCCCCTCCGACACCACCAGCCCAAAAGAATCCAGCGACCCAGCCCCTATGGCCAGCAGCCCAGAAGCAGCCTCACCCACCGAGCAGGGGCCGGCTGGCTCATCCAAGCGGAGGGGTCGGAAGAAGGTGCTCAGGAGCCGGTCCCATGCCAGCAGCAGCGGGGTGGACCTAGACTCCAGCGGGGAGTTTGCCAGCATTGAGAAGATGCTGGCCACCACGGACACCAACAAGTTCAGTCCATTTCTGCAGACTGCAGAGGATGACACTCAGGATGAGGTGGCTGGGGTCCCCGCCGACCACAATGGGCCCAGCGATGAAGAGCAGGGAAGCCCCCCAGAAGACAAGCTGCTGAGGGCAAAGCGGAACTCCTATGCCAACTGCCTGCAGAAGATCAACTGTCCCCACTGCCCCCGGGTCTTCCCTTGGGCCAGCTCCCTCCAGAGGCACATGCTCACACACACTGGTAAGAGGGCTCCCTGGGCTCCGTCCCTGCTGGAGGCTGTGCCACAGCTACAGGGGGAGCAAGGGGTGGGGTCGAAAGCCTGGGACCCTTTCCCACAACTCCATTTGTTCCTGCACCAGCTTGCCTGGTGGTGCTGTGAGTTTTTCCCTTGTGTTCTTAGTAACCACAGTGACTTGTGCCCGCGGTCTGAGCCCTCCAAGGGCTGCTGGTGAAGGGAAGTGTTCGGTATAGGGTGTTTCCAGGTGAAAGTGGTCATAGGCCCCTGGGGACACTTTCCTCCATCCACCCCATCCCTGCTGGAGAAGTTAGCTGGTTATCTAAGGGGCTGAGCTCGGGTGGCGCTCGGGAGAAGTGGGACTTTGTATTAAGGTACTGGGGCATAATGAGTTCAGGGCTTTGACACACGAAATTCCATTCCAGCATCCTCAGTGCAGCTTTTTCAATTTTGAACATTCTGTGAAATGCTTTTGGCTACTGTGTATTCTTAAAGGGAAATATTGCAAATGTTGGCCTTTTTCTTTCAGTTCACTGAGGTGGTCGCATCTTCCTGTTTATTGTGGAGATTGGTGATGGATGGTGGTAGAATTTTTTTGTTGTTTACATTACAGTTCTCAGATGTTCCAGAGAAACTCCCAAGTATGACTAATATTCTGTGTAACACACTTAAATTGCCAAAAAGATATCCCAAAAGCATTTTTCAAATGTTAGCTTCTACACATTGATTTTTGAAGAGAAGTTTAGGACAGAGAATACATTTTCAATAATTTTACACCAGGTACTTCTAATGTTTAAGTAACCATACAACTCTCATTTTAATTATAATTTTCTGAATGTTCTCACAGGATTTATATCACTGAAATGAGGGTAAGTTCCATGAGATCCTTGTCCTTTTGGAGTTTAGAACCCAAATATTTTAGTACCAAATATTTTAGGAGCTAAAACTGAATGGTACTGTGTGCCTGGTACAGGATTGCCAGGTAAAGTGCAAGACACTGGTTAAATTTGAATTTCAGATACACTAAAAATTATTTGTTGTTTAAGTATTTTCCATGCACTATTTGGAATATACTAAATATTTGTTGTGTATCTGAAATTCAGATTTAACTGGGCATCCTGTATTTTTACTTGCTAAATGGAGATAGGTAGGAATTTTACAACAGAATTGTGAGGGGGAGGTGGTGGGGATTGGGTGTGAGCTGTGGCCCGTACCCAGGTGGAAACACTTTATCTAGGGTTGAAGAGCTCATGGAAGGCTTTTTCTCCCAGGTGAGTTGAACAGCAAGCAGGAGGTCACAAAGCCACTGCTGGAAACCAGGAGAGTGTGCAGAGGAGACTGGGATGGGAGGGAGAGGGAGCCATGGGGTCTAGCAAACAGGTGTAGGGTCTCTCTGTGACTGCACTGATCATCAGAGACTGCCACATAGATGTAGCATTTCTTTCTGGTATGGTGGGGCTTCTCATCCAGGCAGGAGTGCCCGTCCAGGAAGGACTCGCCTAACGGGACCAGACTTTGTAAATTCGTGTGGTACATGCTGCCTTTTGAGGCCAGTGTTTGCTTTCTGTTGAAGTAATTGAAGCCCTACAGAGTACAGTAACAGTTCTAAAGAAGAGAGCAGTTCAGAAAGGAAAATGTGTCTTCAGGAGAGGGTGTCCCACGCAGCAGTCTCTATTGCTACCCTTTTTGGGTGACACCTGTTTGTCACCTGCTAAGAGTCTATGGAGAAGTGAGTATTTCTCTTGCCACTTTCCAGAAGGCATGTGGTCGGGCTGTGATGATGGGGTTGGCCCTTACCTTCTCTCCCCTCCCCCGCCATCACCCGCCTCCACACGAGAGTGCTGTGCTTAATAGATACTGTACACATTTTCCTCGGATTCCCAGCAAACTTTCGGTCTCCGTACGAAGACTGGAGTGGCCAGTATCTCCTTTTCGAGAGTTGCGTCTTTGCAAATGCCTATTATCCGTTCCCACTTGAGAATCTGGTCATTGTGATTTCTTGGCTTTTGAATGCCAAAATGTCATGATTGGTTTAAAATTTGGTAGTGTCTGAAACCAGGCAAGGGAGCAGGAGTTTTGTTTAAGATGGACGTATTCTGCTGCTTCTCCCTTCATGGTTACTGGTAACCCCGATGGAGGTGACTGTTTGGGCCCAGTTCCTGACATCCTATCAGGTTATGTTCTCGGTAGAGAAACCTTTCAGAGCTAGTCCTCAGGACAGTCCTGTGAGGTGGTGGTGTTCACGTCTTGGCGTGCGGAAGCTGAGGCTTAGCGATGCTAAGTGGCTTACCTGTAGTCACATGGGCAGCACAAGGCAGAGCTGGAGTTCACAGCCAGGGCTGCGTTTCCTGCAGCTGCCCCCCGCCGGCTGGGGTGCCTGTGGCCAGCTGCATGAAGATGGGCAGGGCCAGGGCCACCTTCCTGCGCCTCCCTCTGTTCTCACATGTCCTGGGGCAGAAGATCAGGAAGTGGTTTGAGATAAGGGGAGAACACTGCCACGGCCCCGAGTGCTGCTAACTAGAGACCTGATGACTACAAGGCTGGGTCAGCCTCGTGCGTGGGCACCATGGGGAGGGCGGCACCGTGGTCTCCTTTAACTCCCGCTACCCTGCTTCCCTGTCCAGCTTTGGGGGAGGGTGTCAGCATCACCTCATTAGGTCGTGCTGTGTTGAGCACGTGGCTGTGTCCGGTGCCCTGCTAGGACATTTTCCACTCTTCCAGCAGTGATGCTGGAAGGCACCTAGGAGCTCACGCTCTTGCCACAGCCCTGCTGTTTGTCACCTGGGTGCTCCCAGCTGCTGGCCCTCTGTGAGACACTCCCTCTAGAACCGTGGAAAAAGACTGAAAGCATGTGCTTGAGTGCAGAATAAAGGCTGACTCCGCAACGACCCTGTACACAAAGGTGTTCTTCAGGGAAGACGTTCTGTGTGTTTTTTAGTGTGGTATTAAAATCCAGCTGAAGTCCAGCCAGAAGTTCCGAACCGCATCTGGTTTGAGACCTTTTCAGCAAACTGTCTGTATCTTGAAGGTCGGCCTCCTGCCGCGCTCTCCGCAAATTAGTGTAATGATCGTGATGTCTCTGCTGTGCCTCATGCACATGTTCTCCAGTAGCCTCTGTCGCCCAAAGGGGCAGCAAAGTAGGCTGAGTGTCCACTCGGGGCCACCTGCTGGCTGCAGGCATGGAACGCGGCCTCGGCCGCCCCTGCCCGCGTCTGGGTTCCAGGAGCAGTGTCCGGTGAGCAAGCTGGCGGCCGTCCTCATTTTCACGTCCCCGGCACCGTCTCCACACTGCTGCCTGCCCTCCTCCACTCCTCCCCGGCTTTCTCCCAGCCTGTGCTCCTGTTAATGGGGGCACTTCCTGGTCCCTTGTCTTTCTCCACCTGCACGCGTCACTGCCTTGCAAGACAACAGCGCGCTGCTCCTGCCTGGGCCCCTCTGAGCATCGCGCATGGTTTTAGGCCACAGGTGGAGGAGGGAATGCCAGAAAACACAGCCAGTCCCCTTCGGCCCCTGTCCTTGTTCTCTTCCTTCTTGCCTTTGCTCCAGTTCCTCATCCCACAGAGACAGGGCTGGGACTGTGCAGCGTCCATTCCAGGGTGCCCTGGCTCGCTCTCTGTCTCTCGGGTGCTTTGAACGCCTTTTCTTCGCCAGCTTGGCGCTCTCCCCCTGCCCCTCTCCTACCTGCTGCTAACGGGCATCGGGCATCAGGCATCGGAGTGCAGATCAATAAGATGTCCAAGCCCGAGTGTGGGAAGCACCTCGGTTACCAGTTGTATTTGGCTACTTTTAACTTAAGTGGCAGATTCAGGCTGTTTTCACCCAGCCCTGTGTACACCTCTGCCAAATATATAGAGAGAAGATACCAGAAGAAAGAAGCCCTCCCTGAGAGGCTGGAGGGGCCATGGAGAGAAGTCTGGGGTGCTCAAGGTGTGGTGTCTTGTCAAAAGAAGTAAACCATCTGCAGGTTTCCCGTCCTAGTGATAACCCACCTTTCTAACCCCAAGATACCAGAAGAAAGAAGCCCTCCCTGAGAGGCTGGAGGGGCCATGGAGAGAAGTCTGGGGGGCTCAAGGTGTGTTGTCTTGTCAAAAGAAGTAAACCATCTGCAGGTTTCCCGTCCTAGTGATAACCCACCTTTCTAACCCCAATTGTGTTTAAAAAATGAACAGAAACATTTTCAGTTCTGTCTCCTTGGTCTTGATGGCAAAGGCCATGAAGTCCTCACCACACTTCTCCAGTTTGCTGTTCTCTCTTGCTCTAGCCCCTCTCTGTTTCTGGATTGTTGGTGAGAGTGGATGCTAGCCGATGGTTTTGATGCCCACGCTGGGGGCTGGAAGTACTGCAAGTCTTGGGTACAAAGGGAATTTCTTGTAGCATCAGGTGCTTTTGCGAACACACCTTCCAAAGCAGTAATTTATGGCGGTTACCAGATAAATAAAACCATTTGATACTTTTCACGTAGATTACCTGTCAATAAGGTTTTTTTTAACCTATACTGTGATAAAACACTAACGGGACTCATGGTTTCTACATGTCTGCAATCCAGAGAGCACACTGCTCTTTAAAATGTAAGGCTTATGCAGTGACGTGTGAACTGTGAATGATTCATTCTAAGTGAGTTGTCACTTGGGAGCCTTCATAATTTGATGTAATACTTGGGCATCATTGAATTGTTTTCTGAACTTTTCCCTGTAAAACTGGAGACTGGGACCGTAGAATCTAGCAATTGGGGGAAGAGGAAGAATCCAGTGATCCAGCACATGATGTCCCCTGTCTTCTGTCTCTTGGAGCCACCTGATCCCCCCACCACCTTTTTTCTCATCCACACTCGCTCCCTCTCTTCCTCCCTCACATCCGTCCACACAAACCCGGGGCAAGTTACAGGGGAGCTTTGACTGCATTTTGAAACAGGGTGTTTACAGTACAAAATGAATCCAAATAAAAGGAGAGGATAGGCGGGAAACTCCTGGGGGAGGGAGGGCTCCTCGCTCCACAGTCCACCACGCTCGTGGAGTGGAGGTGGGTGGAGAGGGGCCTGCCCAGCGTTCTCTCCTCACGTGCACGTCTGTTGAGTGGAGCATGTGATCTTGTATGGCTCACTTACTACCCAGCAAAGGGAACAAAGAGCCCTTTAATGTAACGAGACGACCTCCTGTCTCTTGCCAGCCTAGGACCACGATGACCTTGGGTAGAGGTCACTGCAGGACGTCTCGAGTCAGACAGGAGGGACCAGCCACATTGAGTGGGGGGTTCTGCATGGGTCCCGGACAATATCCAGGGGTTCCAGATCCCTCCGGGGGCCTGGGCTCCCTCCTGCCATCTGATTTCCCAGCACCATGTTACTTACAGTGTTCGAAGTCATTAAAAGGTGTCTTCTCTTCACGAATGTAGGCTTTTTCTTGCTGTACTCTAAAACCCCTTCATTAATTTTTATTTTTTGTTGTTACTTAATATTTCTAATTGTGATACCGTTGTTTTACTCTGAACATATATATCTTGGTTCCATTGTTAACTGTCTTTCAGTATTTTTAAGAGACTTGTTCCATTCCACTCAGGATGAGGAAAAATGATCATTTTAGTCATTGGTGTTTTCAGTCCTTTTTTTTTTAATGTGTTTTGTTTATTTTCTGAAAAGGATGGGGGTGGGGGAGGGGAGAACAAATGCCACTAATCCCAGGAGAATAAATCGAAAGCAACTTTTCTTTCTCATTGCAGTAGAAAGCCAGATAAATATATATTTTTTTTCCTGCTTCAGGTCAGAAACCCTTCCCTTGTCAAAAATGCGATGCCTTCTTTTCTACCAAATCTAACTGTGAACGCCACCAGTTGCGCAAACACGGACTTACCACCTGTTCCCTGAGAAGAAACGGGCTTATCCCCCAGTCCAAAGAGAGTGATGTTGGATCCCATGATAGCACAGGTAGTGCCTGCAGGTGATGGAGAAGTGAGAGAGGGAGAGACAGGAGGCCCAGAGGCTGGTGGGGCTGCCTCACCTGCCTCTTTGTGGGGCTCGGAGCCTGCAGCCCAGGAAGGTGGCCCCGGCGGGAGCACAACTCCTGGGTCAGCAGGGCTGACTCTTGAGCCGGAAGCCTGGGGACTTTGGGAAACAATGGCAGTGCCCCTAGGTGACTTTTTGGAGCTGGTAGGGAAGATCCGTCACCCTCCCAGTGGAAGACACCCTTGCTGCTGCTGTGGGGAGGTGGGAGGTGAGGAAGGGCGTGCAGTTTTAGCTCTGGATGTGAACACATCTAAGAGGGAGGTGGATCCCTAAAGGCTTGGGGAGCCCAGCCTCTGTGGCCTCCTTGAGAGCAGGCTGGGCTCCCTGGATGTTAGGGCATGGCAGCAACTAGGGGTGCAGACCCCTCAGCAGGGAGAGGTATAGCCGGGTGCAGTGTTCTTTTTTTTCCAATAACTCTCTTCCCAGTATGAAACTGTGTCCTTGTTTGAAAAAGCACCCTGCATGTCCTTTCCTTAATCACATCTCTGCTTGACCTGACCCTGGGCGTGACTCTCCTGTGCTGGCGCACGCTTCCTCCCTCCAGCCCTCCTGAGCAATTAACAGCTGCGCAATGTGTCTCCTGCCACCTTTTCCCCCTCACGGCTTCTGTATTTACTCATGTCCTCTACTCAGTACCCTCTGCCATCTCCGACTTCTGGGTTCTCCACCTCCCACCCCCCAAAACAAAACAACACAACACAGGCTGCTGCAGCTCACCGAGACACTCAGCTGGTTGGCTGTTGGGTGGGGACAGTTCTGCATTACAGGTGCTGGGTTCAGTTCTGCGGGTCTGGAAAGTTGCACATTCCCCGTTGCTTGAAGCCAAGAAGATTCCCACAACCATGTTTTCCTAAGGGTACCACGTGGTGTGGGAGGTACCCCTACCCCGGGGGGTCATTGTGGACAGAAGGTCGGGCATTAACCCCAGTCCCCTGTCCTTATCGCAGTTACTGGGGGAAGTGAGGTGTATTTGAATGGGAGGAATTGATCGCTGGTGCAGAAGCTACCCTGCGAGCCCGAGAGAGACAGATCGTGAGTGCCCTTGAGCTGGCCACCCTTCCGTCCACATCAGACCCTCTGAAGGTGTAACAGAGTGGGCTGGTTTGTCCGCTCCTTCCCCAGCTTCCATTTCCACCTAATTTGCCAGGGTCTTTGAATAAAGAAAGGTGCGCACACCCATAGAATCTTGCCGTGACTGGGATCCCCGCAAGCGCAAGATGATCTGCCGTGTATTACACGGGAAGCCCACAGTGCTGCTGGCAGAGCACTCACTTGCTGCAGACCATCCTGTTAATGTGTAACCGGTACCTGTTAGTCCTGAGCACTTTCTCTCAGCCTGGTTTAGAGATGGAGAAATCCCTTCCAAAGTGGTTCCAAAGCAGGGAGAGCTGCTGCTATTTGAGGGAGTTGAGGGGCTCCCTGGGGCTCCCGTGTTTATAAACAAGTCTAGTAACCATGTGCCAGATGCTCACTTTGCCTTTAGCATCTTGGTCATTCGGGAGGAACACAAACTGGGACCCCTGGGGATGTCTGAGGGCCAGGGAGGAAGCCTGCAGACACAAAGCTCAATTCAGATTTACAGTCTTAGCTCCGGTTCGGCACCAGCTTTCACACTATTGCTGTATTTATTTTTGAGGTTTGCAGTTACAAATTTTATTTTTCCAAATGCCTGTCAAAACCCTTCCCCAGCTCTGTCCTGCCCCGGAAGTTGTACAGGTTTTCTGGAAGGGGCAAAGCCTCTGGAAAAAGGAAATTCACTGAAAGTTGTAATGTGAAACCAGCAAAGAGAAAATATATGTTTGGTTTAATTGTGGCCACAGTCCATGGTGAGAAAGGGACTGAGATGGAGAGAAAGATCAGGGAGGTAGAGTTTAGTGATTTCAAGGAGAGTTTTTAAAACCAGGTAAGCATGATGGAGATGGGGTGGAGGTTTCATGGGACTCCCTCCCATGAAGTTAAAAAGTGAGGCCTTGGAGGAAGACAATTTTAAAAAGGGAGGGCGGGGCAGGAAATGACCGAGTAAATTCTTGAAGGGTTTTCTAGGTTTATGCGCCTAGATTGCATTTTCTTAAAAAATTCCTAAATATGTTTTATAATATAGGTCTGACTTTTTTTTTTTTTTTGGCTGCCGGCCGGTACGGGGAACCGAACCCTTACCTTGGTGTTACAACACCACGATATTACCAACTGAGCTAAGTCTGACTTCAGTCACATAAGGTCTTTAGTGGAAATATGCCCCAGATTTTCCCCCGAAAGAATGCCGAAAATGCTACAGTGGGGGCACTTCTCACTTAAGGGGCCACATTGAATATTCAAGTTTAAACTGAAGCTCTTCATTCACTCACTCTCCTGGGCAGAGAGACGCCCTGGCCCTCTTTGCCCTTGAGGGAAACCCTCGGTTCTTCCTTGGGATCCCTGGAAGAGCCTTCGTATTGGTAGGCACCTACATAGGACTGTTTTTAATCAGTACAAATGTGAAAGTTTTTAAGCTTTCCCTTAATGGCAGTCACCTTTACCAACCCAGAAGTCCCAGGTGCCAGCCTGGACTACGCCCCAGGAAATACTCCTCAGCGTTCAAGTGTGTTAGGTAAAGTGCAGACAGCAGCTTCCTGCCCAATCAGACTAGGTGTGTAGGTTGGTAGTCTGTCACTTCAGTTAACAATTTCTAGGAAGCAGTAGATCTTCCATTGTTGACCACTGTTGTGTAGGAGGAGCTGTGGGCTTATTGTCTAGTAGGATTCCTTCTGCTTCCTCTAGCAATTTTCTAAGACTTTTAACACCACTATGAGGGACTGTGGGTACAGAGAAGAAATGCATGTCTCCAAGGTAGCATTGCTTATGAAAAGCCATCAGCTCAGCTGCCTACATTTGAAAGGATGGGTATTGAGGAGGGTGGAGATCAAAGTAGGACTTGGCCTTATAAATTGCATGTTCATGACATGTGAAGAGGCTAAGTCTGCTGTTCAGGAGAATCTGTAATAAAAGTCACTGGGAGTTGCTTCACCTCCAAGGGCCCAGGCTCCCCGCTAAAGCACTCCCCCTAGTGGAAGTCTGGTAGAGGACAGCCAGGCTCCCTTTGTCCAAGGGGAGATGAGTTGGCTTTGACGGTGCTCAGGGTGAGCTCTGTGTTGTGTGCACTGAGGAAGTGTTTGGTTTCAGAGTTCATTTTGATTCTTTTCAAGGTTTATTCTCTTAAATATATTTTATACAGTTGAAATAATAATAGAAACAGCCTAGGATATACAGGGACAAAGAAGTAACCAGAGGTTAAGCCTTTTTTTAAATTGCCACAAAGTCAGCAAATAAGCTGAGCATTCTGTATGCTTATCGTAGAGTTTAGACCAAGATTCGTCCTATAGATGCTCTTTATTGGAATGATTCAAGACAATGAGCATCTAGTTTTTCCTTAGGAGATAGCCTAGACATGGGTGTGCATATCTCAGGATTCCTGTTCTATAAGTTTTGGGATAATTTCAAAAATCATGTCAAAAATTTTATATTCACACCATCATTATTTGTTTCCTTCTGAAACCTCTTGAGATACCCAAACAGCGGCTGCCAAAAGGTGCAGTCAGAATAAAACCAGTGAGATGAGATACTGGAATGCTGTACAGATGGTCCCCAGGCAGGTGTGGATAGTAGGTGTTGTCTCTCAGCCCACGGGAGGAGCAGTTCCCGCTCCTTACCCCAGCCCCGTCACCCTTGAGGGCAGATCATCGAGCCTGTGACATTGAAGAGGACGGCAGACGTGGGTTGCATACATCTGGTCACATCCAGGGTAGGTGTGTGAATCTTTGCTGACTCAAGCACTGTAATCAGAAATCTGGCATGTTGAAGGAGAGGCAGCTCACATATGTGCGAAAAGACCACAAATTTTATCCACCTGATTCTCGGAGGAACTTCTGAATCCCTGCAGTAATAAGTTGGCTGTGGGATCTACAACTAAATAGTAGGTCCCACCCAGCTTCAGCCTCACTATCATAGCACATCTTTTAAAAAAAGCTAAGTCCCCATTCTACCTGAATAAAGAGAGGGTGGTACTTTTGACACTGTTTGGTGTAACTAATGTCTCCATGCCATTCCTTAAGAGGGTCATTGAGAACTGGTAGACTTTTCCCGTTTAGTTTTGCTATGGAGTGTGGACAGATAGGAACTAGTCAACAGACATGAACTCAGGGCCAGCGAGATACCTGCAGCCAGAATTCCTCATCCCCACAAGTACCTGCAGCTCTCACAGCCTCCCCCCAACCCCCATGTGCTCCTGCAAGCCTGGTGTCAAGGGGGCCCAGCACTCTGGGGTGCTGACAGCAGCCAGAAGCCTACAGGTGTGCATGCGTCTCCTCTGACCTCCAAGCTCTTTCCTTGCAAACGAGCTGTCAGGCAACAGCGTAAGTGCCCTATACATGGAGTACAGGCTTGGGGTCATTTTCTAAGAAACCCATCAGAGACCATGTTTTGGAAGACTTGGTGGGGTGGTCCTGTGTATGCTGCATGTCTATAATCTCTTTGCACTGGAAGAATAACTTTTACACACCTCAGCTTCCTCAACCTCCCTAGTGCTGCAAGTCTCTGGAATGCACCCTCTCCTGTCCCCCAGTGCCTGCCTGCGCTGCCTGAGTCACTCACGCCTTCCGGGGCCAGGGCCAGCTGAGCGTCCTGTTCGTGGCAGTGGAGGCCGGGAGTTCCTGGGCACAGCCAGCCCCGTGCACCCCTGCGGGGATGCAGAGGCTGCTTTTGCCTTTTCTGAGTCCCCAGATTCCTCTTGGCCCTCCTTGGGGGATGTCAGGGGTGATGAGGGTCTGGAGAGAGAGGAGCCCTTGCTGGGTCGGAGGCCCAGGTGTCCGTGGCGGTGTCCCCTCTGA